TAGGGCTTAATTTTGGGATAGGGCTTATATTAGACGCACATGTAAAAATCAAGTTAGTAGACAGACAGACAGATCTAAGTCCTAGTCTGCCTGGGTATGAAAGCAGGTACTTAAATTATCATCTCCTGTTCTTGGTCTAAACTTCATACATGACATGGACCAGAAGGATAGAAAAGCATCTCTCTCTGCTGCCATCTTGTGACTGTCCAGAATTTTTTGACCAGTGGTGGTAGCCCTAGAGATGCCCCCTCAGTCAGCTGGAACCTGACTAAATAGAACAGGAGACCTATTTCTCAGTTCTAAAATAAATCTCTTTTACTCAGGCCCAGCTAGTGCATGGTGCTAGTAACCTCTACACCAGGGGTGTCAAACTGCCAGCTGGATGTGTCATGCTGAAACTGTGCTCACCCCAGCTCCGGCAATGGGGGGAAAAGTCACGATATGTCACGACACATCACATGACGTTGCGAGTTTGACACCCCTGCTCTACACAGAGTACCATACTCACAACAATGCAGGGAGTCAAAAAGACGACTAAAGGTAGAATGTCCAAACAGCATTGAAAGTAATTAAGAAAACCCCATCCTGATGCTTCTGTCTGTACTTTCCCTATTAAATTTATTGATTCTCCTGGGGTTTTGAAGCAGAGGGCCTGATTCCATTCAGAAAACCTTTTAGCTGCTTTTAGAGATTACAGCCCACAGAGGGTTAAAAAAAAGAAATCAAATTGTCATTTTCAGTCCAAATTCCGCTAAGCTCTACCTCCTGTCATTCGTAGAAGACAGTGGGCTTTAGATATTATAAAATATTTAAAGTAATCAATCCAGCCTGCAGCAATCAACAATGATTAGACTAGTTGAAAAGTCTGGGAATTAACACCTTGGTATCTGGAGGCTTCACAGGATATGGAAAACTTGTCTGATTGTTAGTCTGATCCAGAACAGCTCATATATATATACACACATATATTGCCTTACAACACAGCTGTAATTGGCCTTTATTTGTTTTAAAGAGGCCATCAGACTATCATTACATGTATTTATATTATTACAGCCTGTCCAGAAGTCAAATTAAGTTGAAATAATCATTTCCCCCAAGATTAAGGTCAGGTATGCTTTAGCAGCTTAGAACAGCAAGTGAAACTACTCTAGCAGTATCTTTCTTTTAGCTTTCTTGTCAAGTCGCTTCTTTCCTGCCAAATTGAGTGATGCATTGTGGTATCATCAGTATGGAATAAGGAAGACACTACAATTATTTCCTTTTCTTCCTTGCCTGTTAAAATCTAAGAAGCTGTTGGAAGATGAATTGGTGTTGAAAATGCCTGATGTTAAAGCAGGAAGATGTTTTCAGAATAGGTTCTTAATTCAGGTCTAAATAACCTCATTATGGTAGATTCTGATTCTATATTTTCATAATTTATTGTGCATTTTTTAAAAACAATACTCAGTAGGGCATTATTGTGTATCTCTTCCATACATTTCCCAATATTCTGCCAATTCCTAAAGAGTCCTGTGGACTTTCTATTACACTTAGAAACAGTGGTGGGATTCAGCTGGTTCGCACCACTTCGGCAGAACCGGTAGCTAATTTTTTGTTGCCCAGGCCCAGAATGGACTTCTGGAAATGGCATCCACACAGAGAACTGGTTGTTCACATATTTGAATCCCATAACTGCTTAGAAACTTAAATATTTAGATGGGTTTCTGATGGGCCAGCATGAAACTATGATGGAATTGATGAGATAAAAACTTTATTCCGGCATTATTTTGATCTTCTGGTATGTCAGAGGGTCTGTGCTTGGTGTCTGGCAGATTCCATGCTTAGCTCAATTACTTTAAATTAAAAATAACATGTAAAAATACAATGCTGTAAAGTCTCTAGCCCAATTTTTAAAGATTATAGTCTCAAGAGTGCTTCCTGACCCTTCATATACTATGCTGTGGAAACATATAGGACAGGGTCAGGAGAAGTGGCAAGGAGCCTGCAAAGCAGGTGATTGGGAATATTCTCATTTGTTTGCCTTCTGATAAATCCCATCTACAATGCCTGGTAATTTCTGAAAATGCCCATAAAGTGTCTTTCAGAACTTACCGGCACAAAAAATATAAATACCTCTGTTCTACCAGATGGTTCAGTTTTGGTGTGCCACCCATAAAACCTTGATGATAATTGCCTCATTAGTTTTCATTTAAAAGGCTGAAACGAGAGAGCTTAGCAGCCGGTTTAGGAAAACTCAATTGAATTTAGTAACACTTCAACCAGACTTAATTTCAAATGGGTAAACTGTTGATCACAGCTGAATTCACTTAATATATTCCTGTTGTGGAAAACTTGCAAGAGAAAGTGCTTACCGTCATGTTGCATCCCAGGCAGTCCCAGATGTGAGACTAGATTTGTTGTAGATGGTCCAAAAGTTGCTGGAACTTGCATACATAACTGCCCAGATTAGAAAGAAATAATCTATATTGCTTCTGTCTCAGATCTCCTCATGATTTTCTTGCTTGATCTTTTGCTTACTCTTGAAGTTGCTCTAGTCCTTTGTTGAATGTTAAATTCCATACCTCTGCCTTTTTTTTTATGAGTATGCTTTGTGGCTTGGTGCTTCTTTTATCTATAAAACCCTGTACTATCATTCTACTGATAGTAGAAGTAGTAGTTCAAGAATTTATAGAGCACCCTAAAATTTTCATAACCACACAGATGGGCTTATCTTTGCTTCAGTAGGAACCCACACAAAGTAATTAGTTACGCAAATATCTATGCAAAAGTGTTCACAGTATGTTTGGCAAGATGACACATGCAAGTCAGCAAAACAGGCTTGTAAATGAAGCTGGCATGTTGGTGTATCCAATTATCAAGCTTGCACAAATAGTTGCAACTTCCAAGTGGCCTATATTAACTATAAATGGATTGTATCAGGAATGTATAGTGGCTGGGGTGGGAATTAAGGCACTATTTAGAATACATGTGGGTCACCCCAGTCCAAAAATGAGCATGAACAAGGAGATAGAAATATGATATGATATGACATGTTATGACATAATATGACATGCTATATGATACCATCCATACAGTGAGAGAGGATTGATGGGATGATATCCTCATTCAAAACAAAAAAGTTGAAGTATAATCCAATATTTATTTTAGGATTTGTGGGTTTCTCCACACTATTGGCCAATGGCTTCAATGAACAAAGAATAACATGAGAGATCTAATATCTGTTGGTCCATCCATCCATCCGTCCATCCATCCATCCGAAACACAGGCAAAAACAAAGAAAATTCTACTCATAATGGCTTGAGGATCTTAGTCAATATTCCCTGGATTCCAGGAAAGGAAAGTTGGATGACATTGAGGCTGATCTCCCTCAGACTCCTTCTTCAGGCAGTAGAGAATGTCTCCATAGAAGAGAAGAGAACTTTTTCTGTTTTCCCATGGATAACATGAGTTTGCTGCTGGAACATCTAATTGGGCTCCAGCTTCCTCAGTTGTGCCAAAATGGTAGGATAGACTAAAGCATTGTCCATGTACCTCGCGTGATGCATTCTGCGAGTAGACATCACCTTAGGACCACAGTCGGGACCAAAATTTCCATTGCTAGCAAGGCTGTTGTTAATGAATCATGCCCAATTTTACAAGCTTTTTGCCACAGTTGTAAGCAAATCACTGCTGTTAAGTGACTTGTGTGATAGTTAAACAAATCTGGCTTCCCCCATTGACTTTGCTTGCTGGAAGTCAGCTGGGAAGGTTGCAAGGGGTTATCACACAACCCCGGGTTGCTGCAATTGGGTAGGAAGCAGTGGTCATAAGTGTGAGAACTGGTCATAAGTCACTTTTTCATGAGGCTGTAACTTCGAATGGTTAAAAGTCAAGGATTACCTGTACGAAGTTTTAGTGAAACTTTCATCATATATAACTGCCTTAAGCAGAACTGCATCTCAAAACTACCTGGAAGATTCTTCTGTTATAGAAGATGGTCACCAGAGTTTATGGTGAAATAATAGCTTTAGCAGCTTCTACATGGAATTCTAGAAGTTATTTGTTATTTACTTTTAGTTTGGGGTACTAAGGACTATAGTGGACAAGGCTGAGATGTTCCATTTCTTTTCTTTGGGACTTGGATTTTTTAAAAATACAATCATAGTTAAGGCTTAATTGATAATATTTATCCTTGTTCCAATCTAAAAAGAGCAGAAAAGTATGCTGCAAATACTTGGTGGAAATTTGCCAGATTTTAGAGATACTATCAGCAGGTCTTCTGGGAATTGCAAAGAATGTTCCAGCCAACAGGTTGTGGATTGCTTTGCATGTTGGATGCCTGCCTATAATTCTCTCTCTATTTTTCAAGTCCTTGCAGGAAATGAAATGATTTTCTAGGAAATGTTGAATTGAAAAAGAATTGCCACTGCCCTAGGTTGGTAGAGTTTTTGTTTTTATTTTTGGGTGGTGCTTTCCAACTGAAAATATTGGAGGGAAGGAACTCATACTAACTAGAATCAATAAATTGTTCTTAGACAAATTGTTAATTACATTTCCTGCATTATGGTTCCAGTTCATTGAAAATTGTATTTTTAAGCAAAATTCTTTACACTGCACCACATATTGTGATCTAAACATGTTTGTTGTTTAAAATATGGATATGTATGTATGTGTGTGTGTATGTACAGGTTTCCCTATTGTGTTCAACTCTTGGACACAGTGCTCATCTCCGTGTCTTAACCGAGGGAGACTATTTCCGTGGTCATGTGGCCAGCATAGCTACGGTATATACCAAAGGTGCAGAGGAAGCTGTTACCATCCCACCAAAGTGGTACCTATTAATCTACCTGCATTTGCATGCTTTCAAACTGCTAGGTGGGCAGGAGCTGGAGCAAGGAACGGGAGCTCACCCGTTTCATGGTGCTCAGGTCTCAAACTTGGACTGTCAGCCCTCCATACACACAAAATTCTAGCAATTTTGAAAGATCTTCTCTCCCATTTTCCTTTTATTTTGTGTCTAGGGATTCAGATTTGTTCTTACTTGATACACGTAGAATTTGGGCTGAAGAAGAAGGTTGGCTGGTATTTGATATTACAGCAACTAGTAATCATTGGGTGGTAAACCCGCAGCACAATCTTGGCCTGCAACTATCAGTGGAGAGTATAGATGGTGAGTATCATAAAATAACATTTTGGCAAATCTTTTACAATTTGTGCTTGGGATAATGACCAGTTGTATTTAGAGATGGTGTCACTTTCATGTGTCCCCTTGGTAGGGAAGGTGGTCCTTTATTCAAAGGTATCCTCTGTCCAACCAATATCTGGATTAGGATTCATAAAAAGGAAGACAAGGTCCTTGATTAGATTTAGCTTCAGGTTATTCTCCTTCACCTCTCCCAAAAAGCTTTTCAAGCCCTAGTTTAGATTTTCCACTGGCTTCCATTGGCACAGTTTATTATGTGCACCTGGAAGTCATTTTACCTTTAGATCAAGTACTTTCTTGTTTTGTTTTTGCCTCTGGCAATAGAAAGAAACTACCAGAATCAGACATCTTCCTCCTTACTGAATGAAGATTAAGAAGAACAAACTAAATTTGTTAATGTAAGAAAAGTATATGTGGGCATTGGCCATTTCACTTACCCATGGAAATTTGAGTCTAGGTGGGATGGTTTTGAAGGCATTTTGAAGTTCCAACTGAAACATAAGTTCACATTCAATAGGAAGTAGACCAGGAATCCTCAACCTTGGCAACTTTAAGACTTGTGGACTTCAAGTCCCAGAATTCCTCAGCCAACTCCCAGAATTCTGGGAGTTGAAGTCCACAAGTCTTAAAATTGTCAAGGTTGAGGACTCTTAAGTAGACAACCCGTGACCTAAATATCAGAGATATTTCCTTACTTAAACAGAGAAACAGAATGACCAAGGGCAGAAAAATCAGTGAAAGTAAGAATGACGTCTAGCAGCTATTGGTGGGATTGATCTACACAGCCTCCAGAAAGCTAGGATGGGACTGGTCTATTGAACCTCTGGATGGCAATACCCCAGCACTGAAGCTACCATAATTTTTCCAAATTTCAATTCCATGGGAGTCATGTGTCCTGGATTTTGGACACTTTCTTAAGTTAGCCCAATTGAGGTAAATTGGTTCAAAAATTATTCCCCTATGATGCACTGTTTCACTCAGGTTAGATTATAGACATGAAAATTTTAGAAGTATATAGATGACAATTTCTATTATTTGATAGTTAAATCCAACAAAGGTAGCAGAAAGAAAGAAAAAGAAAAAAAGAGAAATAAATAAATAAATAAAGGAAGGAAGGAAAAGAAAGGAAAGAAAGAAAGAAAGAAAGAGAAAGAAAAGAGAGAAAAGAATGAGGGAATTTTAGAGGGCTTTTTTTTACTCTTGGAGAGTTTGGCTAAAGTGAAGCAATGTAAAAAAAGCTAAAGTAATTCATTAGCCTCAGGCATTCTGTTATCTTCTAAGTCTATGAATGCTTTCCTTCCTGACATTATATTGGAGCAACAGCTTACTTTGTAAAGTTAACTTGATTTCTTACGTTCATATCCTGTTTGTCTCATTATAGTGGCAAGTTGAAGCAAACTCTTCTGCAGCTTGACTCTAGACATACATGCTTGGCAGCAAATCCCTTTCAATTTATTGGCCTCCAGAGCTAAGGAAATGTTCAATGAATGTAGACTTAGAGGCATAGTGTCTAAAACATATTTGCATCATTTCATCTGAATGAAGGGTATTGCTTTAGAATTAATACAACTATATTCTTCTCTAAAGTCTTCATGAGAACCCATCAGAGTGACAGGGAAGGAACTTTCACTATAATGAGATTAGAACCCAAGAAAGGGAGTTAGTATAGAGAGGAATGTGAGCTTTTTTTTTTTTTACTTAAAACAGGGATCCCCAACCCACAGCTCACTACTGGGCCGTGGCCTATTTGGAACCAGGCTGCTTGAGAGGCAGGCCAGTGCGCACTTGTGCATGCAGCTGCACTCGCACAAGTGGCGAGCCCACCACTCGTGCGGCCCAATTCCCCTCTCCCACAGCTGCGCCGCCAAGCTGCAAAGGTTTGGGACCGCTGACTTAAAAAGATTCATTAAATTACATAAAATCTATTTCTTAATTTATCTATAAAATACTGTTTAAGAAAGAAAACAAATCGATACCTCCAATATTTAAGAATGAATGATTTGGTCAAGCATTACTATGCAGCTGAATTGAAAAAAATATTATTGATATATGCATTATTGACTATATGGGTATGCTAGGGAGCTAAAAAATGACCATATTTCTGATGACCACTGCATGTTTCAGAAATCCATTAGATGCTGGTATTATTTAGAAGTGGTATGAATAAATTTCCTCTGAAAAATCAGTGTGTTCTCTCGTTTTCCATCCTGGTCAGTTAAATGATGGTGGGATTTTGGAAGTTTTCACAAACAACTGATAGGATCCCTAGCACTACTTGGGGGCTAGATCTTAAAGCGTTTAGAGCATTTGTGTATCCTGACCCACATCAGCTTGCCTGACTACTAAGATGGACTTAAGAGGCCTGTTTTATTTTCAATAAATCCCAAGTCCCTCAATACACTTTAGTTTCACCAGTCCCTGGAAGGCTACTAGACAGGGGTCTAATCTAGCTTCCAAGTTGAAGTTGTTCAACAAACAGGAGCCATCACATATCTCCAGACCTCAACCTTACTTCCCCAAAATGGACCACCATGAGCAACATCTTCTGGGATACTCATATTGGATAGATCCCAATAATACTTAGAGCTAAGCTCCAAAGGGCTTCATAGGATGAAGCCTGCAGTGTGAATTGTACCCAGAACCATATTTGTAACACGTGCAGGGCCATTAATGTAGATGCACTAACCAGCAAATGGGCCGCTTTATTCTGAGTCAACTGCAATGTTAAAGTGAATTTCAAAGTAGCCCCATGTAAAGATTGTTGCAGTAGTCCACAATATCATCTTTGTTTACATAAGACTAAAAAATTTATTGGGATGTCTTTTAATAAGAAAAAGCTGTTTCTTTCTATCTCTCAAATGGATGTTTTCTGGAAACACACCAGCTTTTAGTTTAGGACATTTTTATTTTAAGCTAATAACTTTCAAAGAAAATTTAGTGTTCTGTTGGGCTTAGTTTTATGGCTCTTTTTTTTTAACAGGAGCACATTAAATTATAAATAGTTGAACTCAAGAAATGTCCCTTCCCCCACTTGTTTTTTAAAGAAACCAAAGAATAGGAGAAAATAATATTGATGTTGATCTGGAATAACATGGCTTTCAATAGAGGTAATTGCTTCAAGAATGACAAATTTCAAAATAGAAAATGTTTTTTTTTAAAAATTGAGCCGTTTCTTATATGAAACGTTTTGCATTAATTTACATGTTTAATAGCAATAACACTTAGACTTACATAACCGTGCATAGTGCTTTACAGCAGATTCTCAGTGGTTTACAATGTCAGCATATTGCCCCCGAACAATCTGGGTCCTCATTTTACCAGCCTTGGAAGGATGGAAGGATGAGCCCCATCCTGGCTATATGTAGAGTTAGCTTGTAGTATTGTATTCTAACCACTGTGCCATCATGCATGGACTATCTTCCTGCACCTTGGAGGCTTCCATTATTGCTAGCATAACTGGAAAATATTCATTTGTAAAATTACTTTGTCTCTTTCCTGTTCTTTCTCTTTCCACTTAGGACAAAGCATCAATCCGAAGTTTGCTGGTCTTATTGGAAGGCATGGCCCACAAAACAAGCAGCCATTTACAGTGGCCTTTTTCAAAGCTACCGAAATACACTTTCGAAGTATCCGTTCTACAGGAGGTAAACAGCGGAATCAAAACCGTTCGAAGGCACCAAAAAATCAAGAAGCTTTTCGAGTGTCGAATCTCGGAGGTACGCAAACCTTAGGTGTGTGATTTCTATAAAATTAACATTGGGGATTAAGCTAAGAAAATGAAACTCTTTCTGGTGATTTTCTCTCCTTCCTAAATTGTTTTTCATCTGAACTGAGAAGAAAGGAAATCAGAGCCTTGCTTTCTCTGCTGTCAAGATGCTTAGTGGTTGAGAAGTCTTCAAGAATGCTTCTCTGCAACCACCTGGTTATCAAACTTCATGGATTGCAGTGCACAATTGGAGTCTGTAGACCATTCTTAGCTCAGAACGGCCATTTTGATCATTCTAAATCTGAGTTCAGGACAAAATAGAGATGTTGCTTTGAGTGTTTTACTAGAAAAGAAAAAAGTATCTTTCTCCCAACATTTCATCTGAAAGCTACTCTCCTAGATGGAGTAACAATCCATGCTAAGCAGTACATACTGTTGGGCTCCTCAGGCATGACACTTGGAAGAATACACCAACGGACTGAATTTTTATTGTCACACAGTAGTTGCAATCATAATATAGAAAATCTCTGTATTATGAGAAAAATCTATAGAATATGTACCCAGTCTTACTTCCAGAGAGGAACCATACCAGTTTTGGTTTTTAGTGCATGGCTGCTTCATGATTGGTCACCATTTTGTGCTTTGGGAGGGAGGGAAGGAAAAAAGATGTTATTGGATTTAGGATTTGCACTTATGCTGCTGTGTAAAGAGTCTACAGTGTAAACATTCTTTATATATATCCCTCCTTTATTATTTTTGTAAATAACTCAAGATGGTGAACATACCGAATACTCCTTCCTCCTTCTGTTTTCCCTATAATAATAATCCTGGGAGGTGGGTTAGGTTGAGAGATACATATACCCTTATATGGTAGCATGGAATTTTATTGCACTATTTATAGATATTGTCATTATTTTAGAATTTTTTTTTTTTTAAAGTCATGTATGAATGTAACTACATCACCTCAGTTAGCCTGTGCCTTAATATAATTGCCAGACTGGTTGTTGTGAGACAGTTGGTCTCACTTTGCTTTCCCTTCTTTTTCTGCCCAATGCTCTCCAACTCAGAAAACAGCAGCAGTGACCAAAGGCAAGCTTGCAAGAAACATGAACTCTATGTCAGTTTCAGGGATCTTGGCTGGCAGGTAAATTCTACTTTTATACTTGGAATTAGAGATCCATGGTGCGCTCCAGTCTACTTATTCTCAAGTGGGTAAAGTGAATACTGTGACCTCATTTTCTTATTATGTCCACTTGTAAAAAAAAGCAAAAAAACCCTGTTTCAGCAGGTAAGATCATGCAGATCTCCAGGTTACTTGCAGATAATTCAAGGGCAGGTGTTCTTTGCCTATAGAATATTCAGATCCACTAATTTATTTATATATTTTATTTTTATTTTCTATATCAGATTTGAAGGTCACCCATCCCACTCGCAGAGCCACTGTGAGTGATGTACAATTAAAACATTAAAAACCATGTATGTTATATTCCAAAAGGAGGCAGTTTAAACATGAGTAAAATAATTAAAGTTAGAAAGGCAGAGGAAGGGCCTTCTAGGCACTGTTCAACACCAAAGTTGTGTGTCTGTGGAGATTCTCAGTTGGTGTCTTTGAAGAACACCAAAGTTGTGTGTTCCTCTGAGAGCCCCAAGCGAGTCGGCAAAGCCCAGTCTTCAAATTCTTTTGAAATGCCATGCTGGGGTGGGGGGGATGCCTTACTCCTGGGGGGTGAGAGTATTCCCAAGGGCAGGGTGATGGCAGAGAAGGCTCTCTTCCTGAACCATGCCCGTCAAAGTGTTTAATTTCTGTATAAACCAAAAGAACCAGTAATTTTAAAGCCATCTTTAATGGGTAAAGCTGAGAGAGAAGGATTGGCTCAAAGACAACCAGGTGGCTCTCATGCCTAAGAGGGAACTAGAACTCACGGTCTCCCAGTTTCTAGCCTGGTACCTTAACCACTATAAGGAGTGAATACAAATCTTATATATATATATATGTATGTATGTATGTATGTATGTATGTATGTGTATGTATATGTATATGTATGTATATATATATATATATATAGTGTGTGTGTGTGTGTGTGTGTTTTCTGAGGTTTTCACGGGTGTTTGTATGTAGGTCTTTGGTTATTCGGGTTTTCTCCCGCGTCAAATTGGAAGTGTCTTGGCGACGTTTCGATGAAGTCTCATTCATCATCTTCAGGCTGGTGCTTTTGGCTTCGTGCTTCTAGGAGCAAACCCAAGAAGCAAAAAGCACCAGCCTGAAGATGACGAATGAGACTTCGTCGAAACATCGCCAAGACACTTCCAATTTGACGCAGGAGAAAACCCGAATAACCAAAGACCTACATACAAACACCCGTGAAAATCTCAGAAAACAAATATATATATATTGAATGAGAGCTTGGCTGTGTTCTGATTGGAACACACTTCCATCCAATCAGAACACAGCCGAGCTCTCATCCAATCAGTTCATACCCCCACTGGCAGTTAAAAGGAAGAAACAGCTACGATCACACATTGCTCCTAGAAGGACGAAGCTGAAAACACCAGCCTGAAGATGACGAATGAGACTTTGTTGAAACGTCGCCAAGACACTTCCAATTTGACGCGGGAGAAAACCCGAATAACCAAAGACCTACATATATACATACATACATATATATATATATATATATATATATATATATATATATATATATATATATATATATATATACACACACACATATATATATACATATATATATATACATATATATATATATATATATATATATGTATGTATGTATGTATGTAAAAAAAGTCATTCTAATCTAATGTTTCTTCACCTCAGCAATTTTAAGAGGTGTGGACTTCAACTCCCAGAATTCCCCATTTCAGCATTAGAGGAAGCAATTAAAGTTACAGCGATTGAGAAACACTGCTTTAGGGGAAATGAAAAAAATATCCACAGCAACCCCATTGGAGTTGATACCCTTGAACTGGGTCTAGGGCCGTGGTGGCGAACCTAGGCACGCGCGCCATCACCCCATTCTTAGGCCTTCAGCTGGGTTTTATAAAATCTTTTCGTTTAGGCCTCCACCACCGCGTGCAAAAAAAAAAAAAGGTTCAATCTATCAATCAATTTCAACTTCTTGCGGGAAAAAAAAGATCTTGCAAAGTTGGAATTCATTGATTGAACTTTTTAGTCCCATCCAATCTGCCATTACCACCACACGCATGCCACCAAATGGGCCACGCCTACCCAATGGGTTCACGCCCACCCAGCACCCGATGATACATAAGTGGGTTTTGGTTTGCAGTTTGGGCACTCAGTCTCTAAAAGGTTCGCCATCACTGGTCTAGGGATAAATTAATGTGCCTGTGGCAGGAAATGAAGGTTAAACTTTGTTAACCCTCTCTTTGATCTTTAGCTGATAGCACAGACCAGAGACATTAATTTAGGCCTTGATAATCCCTAAACTGTTTTAAGCTAAAGTAAACTTCTCCTAACCCCCATCCTTTTTTGTCATCATTCTTTTATTGCAACTTTTAAAAAGGAAACATGGGGGGGGGGGAGAATCTACAGAAACAAATTAAAATAAAAATAATATTATCTAACCAATTCAGTTTTAAATCCCCATTTTAGTGAATGTCCTGTATGTATGCAGAGGCATTTTAATATTTTTTTTTTGTTTATTGGATAGTTTTATTAAGTTCTCTCCATCTCTCTGCCTCACCTAACCCAGGACTGGATCATTGCTCCAGAAGGTTATGCTGCTTATTACTGTGAAGGAGAATGTGCTTTTCCATTGAACTCTTACATGAATGCAACAAATCATGCTATTGTACAAACACTGGTAAGTTTCTCTTAAAAGTCTTTCACAACAGTTCTGTAGCCCGATCAGTGTCATTCCGTTAAAAAAAAAATTACAAGAGAGTTGCACTATATGGATTTCAGGAAAGTAAAAAATCATTAACTGCACACTACATTTCTTGTATCTTCAATCTGGTAATTTGTCTGATACCAGGGTGGATGGTATTTGGTGAACTCTGGGGAGTCCTTGGTGGTCTCTGAGCTTAGTGTTTGCTTGCAGACCTTTCATTACCAAACTAGGTAACAGCATCAAGTTTAAATCATGTATCCACAATTTACCATTTTTAGATAGAACGACAGTTTCTGTCCTCTCTTCCCCCATCCTGTTAATATGTATATATAAGATCACTGCTTTTAATCATGCTAAACAAACATATCCAGTAGACACATTTTTTTCATAGCAATACCTCTCATATTTCCTCAAAAAAACCTCACATAAGAAAATTTTGAGCAATATTTTCCATCATCACAGATTATCAGGAGCTAAAATTCCATACCTGGGAGAGGATATTGGGTTACTCCAAGATTATAAACTAGATCTAATTATTAATTGACAGTATGAGTAAAGAACTTGCAGCTACATTGACAGTTCAGGAATAGCTAGTTCAGCTACTTTGATGGTGGTAACTTGTCTTCTTTGGGCAACACCCAAAGTTGCCATGCAGTCAGAGGAAATCAAGTGTTGGTAATAATAGGTGCCAAAACTGGATGTTCTAGTTGCATAATGGGAGGTAGCATTGACAGGGTGGAAGAGTATGGCGTTCAACTAATTAACATGTATCTATGTGTATTTATAAATTAGTATAAAAATGGAAGTGAATAAAAGTGAATTAAGTACACTTTTACCTTATTAACTATATTTTCACCAAGAATGAGAATTTGAAAACTACTAAGAAAATAATTCAGATATTTGAGAAATCCAGTGCTGTATCTTTTGGATGCTCCACAAAAGAGAGGAGGAGAGAAAGGAGGAAAAAGGGGAAGAGAAATATTATTGTATTCATTCAAATAATTTCTTCATATCGCCAGTTCCCGAGGATAGGAAGAATATCTAAAGAACAGTCAAATCCACAGAGACAAATGCTTTCTATGGCTGTAAGAGCTACATTAATGATAGTGTGTGTGTGGGGGGGGTGAGTTGTATGCATGCAACACATACCCACAGCACACACACACACACACACACACAGCATTGCAAATAATATTAGCCCTAAACATTCACCTTTTATCCTTTTATTTACCCAGCCTTTATTCTTGCTCACTGCTCTTTCGTGACTTCCTCATGTAACAACTCTTGTTGATCTTCTGTAAGACCTGTTTCTTCTAAACCCAGGAATTATAGTCTTCTCAGTACAGAAGTCAAGGTGTCAGATCTCCTGGCTCCAGTTCTGATAGAACTTGGTGGTAACTTTATTCACAAGCCCTGTTCCTTTCAATGTCTAGTATCCACAGAGCTTGTTCAATTCATAGTTCAAAAATGTCTTGTTTAATTCTTGCACAGTGATCACCAAACTTGTAGAAAAGCAGGTCTTTCAAGAAATAGGTATAAGTGGCAGTGGTTGTAACATCAGTGTAGCAGAAACAGGAAGCTGATATGGAGGGGGAAAGAACCATAGTCCAGGGGTCCCCAGCCCCCGGTCCATAGACCAGTACCGGTCCGTGGCATACCAGCAACCAGGCTGCACAAACAAGCAAAGCCCCATCCGTGAGATGCAGGCATCACACAAAATCACGCACCCTCCGGTCCGTGGAAGAACCTCTCTCCACGGAACCAGTCCCTGGTGCCCATAAGATTGGGAACCTCTGCCATAGTCCATTTCTTGAGAGCCATATTCCAGGCTGCAAAATTCCAATGATCACTAGATGGCAGCAAGGAGTGAATCATTTTCAGTGTCTTTCCTGTCATCGAATGGTTTCCTGGATTCCTTCAATCTCTCTGGTAGCCCATCTGATGCTGTTGTGTTGTATTTGTGGTTAATATTCAGCTTCAATTCTTGTAAACATCCTGATGTCTCGTAACTTATTTGCCTCTAGGTTCACTTTATAAACCCCGATACCGTGCCGAAACCTTGCTGTGCCCCAACACAACTCAACGCCATTTCCGTCCTCTACTTCGATGACAGCTCCAATGTCATTTTGAAGAAATACAGAAACATGGTGGTACGAGCCTGTGGCTGCCATTAACAGCCTAGTCAGGAAAGCTATTTCAAAATGTGCAGACTGAATTGTTTTTATAAAATAGAGAGTTGTAAAAAAAAAAAAGAGGAAAAAGAAAGAAAGAAAACTATCCTAGGAAGAATATTTCTAAATGGGCCAAAGGTTCAGCAATGATTTTTGAGATGCAAGTGCTGCTTTGAGTAAAGTTGGCGTTAGATTGCATGAAAGCATCTTGTTCTTATGATGAAAATAAGGATGAATTTTAGGAACAGATTTTTTCCATTGCAAGTGCCTTGTCAAGAAAACAGACCTCTTTTCTTCCTTACTTTTCTTTTCTTTTCTTTAATAAGAAAGCTATTTGAGGTGTATATGAATGTGGAACATGTCCATGAGCGCCACATGCATGTTTATAGAACTTCTTCCTAAAGAAATGCACCATATGAATTAAAACATATGAATGAATTTAAGTGAATCCACTGGCTATTTTGACCACATAACTAGGAAGATGTGAATTCTGACTTTTATTAAAACAATTCCATGGCCTTATATGTTTGAAATATTCCCTACCAAGGCAGCTATACAACTTTTGCAGTGATTCCAGTCACTGAGCATTATGTATATACTGTAATTTCTGCAGCTGGATCTCCTGTTTCCCCTTCAAAGCGAGCAGACAGCATTACAAATCCAAGAATCAGGGCTGTACACAATATCCTTGTATGGCCATGCATAGTGTTCTATAGAAGCACAGAGACAGCAAGATAAACGGCATACAGATTGGAGTTGCAGTTGGCTGTATTTAATGTAATTCATGGAACTGCACAATTAAGCTTCCACTATTTGAGAAAACAGGGTTGACGATAACATTAACTAGAATACTGACAATAAAATTTGCCAATCTATTTCCCAAGTCAGAGTAGCAAATATGCAGATTTACTCTAATAATTTTTAATCACTTTTTTTCTGACAAGATTTCTTCTTTTCCTATGCTTTAATCCAATTTGATAGGCAAGAGAAAAGTCTAAATATTCAGAAGAGTGAATTTCTTAATGTGCAGGAACAATGCATTCAGCCAATATAGAGATCTTTTGTTTCTGAAAAGTGCCTTCTCCCTTTCTGTTTTGGCAATGCTAATTTAAATCTTTGTCTAATCTGAAATGGGAAGGGAGCAGAAAGGTGTAAAAAGTTAATACAATAATAGCTGTTGAATTAAAAGGCTACATTCTTAAGCCACGTTGGTCAGACTAATCTGGATGAAGAGGTGGACAGCTTGTCAATATTTTCACAATGCTAAATGACATGGAATTGCTACTCTGTTGATCAGTGGTAAGCATTTTGTGACTTCCAGATACTACTAAATTGTAAGTCTCATGTTTCATTATTAGTCATGGTGGCTCAGAAGCTGGAATTCAACATCTGTAGATCCATGTGTTACCTATTTCTGCATAGATTGTGCACACGAAATTATTCACTGGAGAGAGCGGTTGGGAGAAAAGTACAAGGATAGAGGTTGGGTCTGTTATGTAGAATAAACATTAATCAATAACTTGATAGCAAGGTAAATAATTCAGGTTCTATCATCAAGCAGAATTGTTTCCAAAACTTGAGAATATTATTGCTCTTCCAATTAGCTTGAGGATGTCCAGGTACGGTGATATGATTTTCAGCTGGGTTGTATGTTGTCTCCAAAAAATTTTTGACCGTTCAAGAAAATTTCATAGGAGAAGATATCAAGATAAGAACCTACATAGGAAGGCTAAAAGAGCTGAGCTAAAAAAGTATTGAATTTCAAGCAGCAAGTGTAATATGCCATCGGCCAACACAGTGCTAGGCTGCATTAACAGAGGGGTAGAATCAAGATCACGTGAAGTATTAATACCACTTTACAATGCCTTGGTAAGGCCACACTTGGAATACTGCATCCAGTTTTGGTCACTGCAATGTAAAAAAGATGCTGAGACTCTAGAAAGAGTATAGAGAAGAGCAACAAAGATGATTAGGGGACTGGAGGCCAAAGCATATAAGGAATGGCTGCTGGAATTGGGTATGTCTACTTTAATGAAGAGAAGGATGAGGGGGGACATGATAGCAGTGTTCCAATATCTCAGGGGCTGCCACAAAGAAGAGGGAGTCAAGCTATTTTCCAAAGCACCTGAAGGCAGGACAAGAAGTGATGGAAACTAATCAAGGAGAGAAGCAACCTAGAACTAAGGAGAAACTTCCTGACAGTTAGAATAATTAACCAGTGGAACAACCTGCCTCCAGAAGTGCTGAATGCTCCAATACTGGAGGTTTTTAAGAAGAGACTGGACGGCCATTTGTCTGAAATGGCATAGGGTTTCCTCCCTGAGCAGGGGGTTGGACTAGATGACCTCCAAGGTCCCTTCCAATTTTATTATTATTATTATAGCTAAAGCTTCATGAATACTGGGTGGTAGTCCAAAAAGGATGTTGTGGCTGAAAAGTGATTGAAGCCATTCAATTTGTTATAACTGCAAGGTTGCAGATAATAACTCTCAATCACTGAACAGAGTCCCATGGAAAGCCATATCTAATCATCACTTGTTTTAAAAAAAATTCAAAGGCTTTTTCTGCATCTAAAGGTATTAAGGCAGCAGAATCCATTTTATCCTCAGCTATATGCAGTATGCTACTTAATATATGCAAATTACCTGATGCCTGAAAATTTTTGATAAGACCCAACTGGGAAGGATGAATTATATCTAGTAAGATTTTTTGCAAGCATCCAGCCAATAGGGTAGTTAAGACCTATATATATAATCTCATAAAATTATGATGGTAATTTATCAACCTTAAATTTTACCTCATTATACACTGCCCAAAGAATAGAACCAAGTTCTTATACCAGTGATTCTCAGTCTTGGCAACTTGAAGATGTGTGGATTTCAACTCCCAGAATTCTCCAGCCGACATAGCTTTTTCGGAATCTGTCATAACCTCCAATGGTTGCTAAAAGAGCAGTCATAAGTTGAGAACTAGCTGTGTTTTTGTTTCTGGTCTCCCTGAATATTAGAGAGATGTTTTTCCCCTTCTTGCTGCTAATAAGGCTGCCTAATGAAGTTAATTTGCTGCAGTAGTACACAGAAAGTATTTTATCACACAGTGCCTAAGTAAAATTTCTAGGATTTGTTACCACATGATGAATTGCTGGTTTTGAAATAGGAGGAGGATGGGTCTACCAAACACTCTGAACCATGGAAGCTAACTTCTACATGATCGTATATATAGGAAGTTAGGAACAAACCATATTGATTGACATTGCCTTGCTATCTATGAAATCATGCTTGGGAAAGTTTTAGACTGGCTGGCTGTTAGATGGAAAAGGCCAAAAGTGGACTTTCTTACTGGTCAGCCAGCTTGTTTCATATAGGTAGATTGGGGAGATAGAGCCCAATGGGAAAGTAAAGAGACCAGAGTGATTTTCAAGCATCCCTCAAATTAGAGCTGGTTCTAATCCTTATCTTTTCTCCCAGTGAAATTTATTTTGGGATCAAATTAATTGCCCTCCATCTGCTGATGAAGCCAGGAGGTCATAATCCTAGCATATTTTTATATAGATGCTTACACCAGCTTCGTATGTCTTTCTAGGGTTTGGTATACCTCGTTCAGGGAACTCTGTTTAATGCTATACTAGGTAAAAAGAAAAATGTGGTCTTCCTGAGCCTGTTACCTTCAGGCTGTGTTGGGACAACAAAAGCAGGATTCCTGACCATCATGTGAATTCTGAGCATTGTAGTCCTGGTATATAAAGGGGACACCAGCTTTGGGGAGACTGCCTTATGAATGAGTATGTATATAATATAGGGGTGATGTGTAGTGCCTTCTTTTCCAGATTATGTTGGTAAATATTCTGGAAGAAAACCTTCACGAATGAGTTCAGCCTCTTTATGTGTATTAGGGGAATAATATTCCTAGGGTCGTTTCTCTTCCCAACCTTTATAAATAAATTGCCTTTTGTTTTGGTTAATTTCTGTTTTAAGTTCCATTCTTTGTACATGTTTTTGTAAATAGTTTTCACAAAAGCCAAAAAAAAAAAAATTATTTATTTCAGCCTCTGTATTTCTTTTCTCAGTCACATTTGGGAAAAACAAAACCAACCAAGCAACCGACAAAAAAAAAAAAAAAAAATATCGTCTCTTATTTGAAAACATTGTTGTTTCTTTATTTAATAAAATATTTATTAACAACTGCTGGTGAAAACAAATAAATGTTTTGGGGGCTTTTTATTTCCTTACAGCAGTTGTTTTTAGATGGTTGTTTGTACAAATTAATCAAATAAATCATTGCCATTTTATGTGGTTTTAAAATGAAGTCTCTCTTGTGATGTTTTTGTGTGATTATTGCGCTTCCTTTTCTTCTTCACAGCCCCATCCTGTAAATGTTCCTTTGAGTTCAATGGGTTTCACTGTCAGGACAAATGCAATCCCATTCAAAGAGCCACAAATGGACATGTAAGGAAGCACAGGTGTACCGGCATATGGTTTGGGAATGGGTGACAGAAATGATTAAGTTAAACATCCAGTACAAACCTGAGACATTGTTGTTAGGAATCCTTGAAAAAAATGTTAGTAAAGAGGATACGTATTTATTTATTCATGTGGTTACAGCGGCAAGGATATTATTCGCTCAAAACTGGAAAGCTACGGCTGTACCTAGTGTGGAAATTTTAATTCAGAAAATTATGTATTGCGCAGAATTAGACAGGTTAACTAAAAGATTAAAAAATCAGGATGAAACAGGTTTTTTTTACCAAATATGGAATAAATTCTATAGATGGTGGGAAAAAAAAACAAAAATAGGGAAGTTATTGAAATGAGATAAGTTAAGATTGAAATTAGAAGGATGTTATTGTAAAGAGTTTTATCTGTAATTAATGTCAATATGAACTGAGATGTTTGTCAAATGCTGATTTACCACGTTCAATGTTTTTAATTATTTTTCTTTTTTTTCCTTTCTTTTCTTTTTTGTTATTCAATAAAACTCTTTTAAAAAAAGAAAAACAAAGAGCCACAAATGAACGAAGGCCACAATTCCTCATTTATGTACCTCAGTATAAGCTCCGTGTAACATAAGGAGATTTTTCCTTTGAATACATTTGCATGTGGATGCTCTAGAAAGGTTGAAAAGTTTTGGGACCCAGTTTTATCCAGAATTAAGCTCAATATTTGTGTTCTGCATTTATTTGAAAATACGTCTGTTTCACTTTGACTCCCAGGTTTTCCAGATGGCTTATGGCAAAACAAATCAATAAACAGAGTCCACAACAAGAAAGATACAAAACTGTAAATAACGATGAGAGGGAGGAGAGAATCAGATACAAAGCAGGACAGAAATTTTCCCCCTCAAGCTGGGTTTATTTATTTTATGGAGGAAAATGCTTAAACTGCCCAATAGCCAAAGCTTTCTGGATGGTTTATAACAAATACATTAAAAGTTACATTTTTTGAATAAAAATATGTACACGAAAACGCAAAATAAAAACTTGAAAACTAGGCAGCTGAAAGACAGTTATTCAAAAGCTAAGAATAATATGAATTAAAATACAAATAAAAATCAGTTAAGAAGCCAGGGCAAATAGATCTTGACCCAGCAACAAAATGATGCTAATGTGAGCAACAAGCCACTCCGAGGAGGGAATTCCACAAATGAGGTGCTATCACTACACAAAAAGGTCTCCCCCTTGTAGAGGTCTATCTCACCTCCTTTGGTGAAAGGACCTGAAGGAGGCCTTCATTAGACAAACTTAAGGTCCAGTTAGGTACATACAGTATGGAAGAAGGTGCTCCTTCAAGTCATTTGGTCCTAAGCTGTTTAGGCCAGATCTGGGCATTTTATGGCCTGTGGACCACATCCATCCCTTTGGCTGTCCCTGTCTAGTCTACATAGATTGCTTTTATTTTGAAGGCGGCTGCATGCCTATATACCTTCACAGCCCTATTGATTCAGCTCTCAACAGTCTTAGTTTCTCATCAGGCATCTTGGGAAAATAATTGCCCACTCCTGGTTTAGAACTTTAAAGGTTAAAACTAACACAAGTCCAGGTAGGTACATACAGTATAGGAAAAGGTGTTTCTTCAAGTAACTTAGTCCTAAGCCAATTAGAGTTTTAAAAGTCAAAACTAACACTGTGAACTGAGTCTGGAAATGGACCAACAGCCACTATAAATGGTGAAATGTTAGTATCAGCCAGTCTCAGTGAACAGTCTAGCTACTCTGTTTTGAACTAACTGAAGTTTCTGGAGTATTTTCAAAGACAACCCAATACACAGCATGTTGCAATAATCTAACTGGAAAATGACCCGACCATGAATAACTACTGCAAGGCTATCTATCCAGACAAGGTCGCAGTTGGTAAATCAACTGAAACTGATAAAAAGTACTCTGTGCAATCAAGGTCACACCTGGGCTTAATGACAGTGATGGATATGGGAGCATATCTCAACTTGCAAACCTGTTCCTTTAGGGCAGGGGTATCAAACTACTGGCCTGTGGGCTGGTTTCATCATACGGAATCCATGCCCCCATTGCTGGCAATGCAAAAAGAGTCGCGACACGTGACACGTCATGTGACGTGGTGAGTTTGACACCCGTGCTTTAGGGTAAGCGCAGATCCCTTCAGGACAGAAATGCATCATCCAATAATACAGTAGTATCTATATCTTGTCTGGTTTAAGTTTCAGTTTATTGGCCTTCAGTCTATTACCCTATCCAGGACATTAACTGATTCAATCTGTATTAGATAAAAAGATTTTTTGAAACTTGATTATATGCTGTTGTTTTTGACTTCTGACAACCATACAGATTTTCTCTACAATGATGTCTTTCGGGTCTCCCAACAATGCATTCATTGCCAGTAACTGAGTCCGTTCACCTTGTTGGTTGGTATACTTCCTTCTACCTTTCCCAGCTTAAGAGCC